AAGAGAGAGACAGGGAGAAGGGGAGGGAGCAGCAGGAACGAAGCATTATGCTGGAATGAAGAATTTTGAGTTTCAGAGTTTTCAGCTTAGCTTGTTCATTATCTAACATTAATGGAGTCACATAGTGTCTCTGATTCTCAGTTTCCTTACCTGCAAAGATGAGGCGATAATTCCTGCCCATTTCATTGGCTCATTATGAGGATAAACAATGGTAAAGCATGGGGAAGAAGCTTGGAGAATTGTGTTTCGAATGGTAGTCATATGTATCACTTTTTATAGAATGTCGAAATTCCCATAGTGCTGTCCATGAGACATTTAAAGCACATTTCCAGCTCTCACAAAAAAAGAAACGAAAGAAATATTGTCTTCTCTTTTTTTTTTTTTTGTTTTTGTTTTGTTTTAGAGGTTTTTGCCATAATCATGTGCTCTCACTGGAGAGAGACATGGAGACAGAGACAATGAGAGGAAAAGTAAGAAATCACCCCCGGAGGGATGGCCATGCATGATTCCTTCTCCTTCATTCTCCTCCTGGGATCTTGGGCACACATGCACATGTGCTCGGCATGATTTTCAAACCACCGGGTGTGTTGGGACAGGAACGACGGTCGACCGTATGGGAGTACAACGATGTTCCCACTACTCCATCTGCTGGCCCCCTTCCTCTCCCATCTCAGCCTTTGGAGATGGGTCCAGAGCAATATGGTAGAACTAGCACTGTTGACCGCCACATTCTCTCCACCGGGAAGCACTGTATGTCCCCTCCCCTTGGCCAGGGCAGAAACAAAACCAAGTGACCATCTTACCTCGTCATCACAGCTGATGGAGCATTTGCCATCCAGAGAAGCACACTGTGTGAGAAAGAAAGGAGGGAAACATGATTCGGGCATTCCCAGCATCTGCTGTGGCTACTACTTCGCTACTCAAGGATAAGCAATCGAACTCCTGGACAATAACACAAATACAAACTTCCATCCAAAGGGAATGCTTCCAGAAGAGTCTTGTCTGCCCACTCTAGAAATGATATCAACCCCAAATAGTAATATTAAAGGCATATGAAATAATTGGGGAAGGGCTGGCTCTTTTTCATCTATTTCAATGAGTGTTGTCATTCAATATTTAGAATATCTTTTTAAGTTTTCCAATCTTTTGGTAACCAAAAAAATAAGGAAGCAGTTATTTGATTTTAAATGAATTCCCAATTACTTCTTAAAAAGCCATCTGTGTTCTTTATTTATCATATCCTAAAATATTTTAAGAAATGATAAACCATTCCAACATTCAGAATTGAGCCGATGAGAGCAATCTAACAGTTGCTATTTCTACCAAATTACTGAACAAATACCACCAAGATTACTTAGTGCAGAGAGCGTAGCAAAAAGAAAGATGGCTCTTCCATTCTCTGAGGTAGAACAGCTCAGAAAAGCCCTCTGGTCAAGTATGGTAGATACACGCTTGTACAAACCTAGTGAGAACAAGGCCTTTGAAACCCTGTAGAGAGTCACAAATCTACCACACCAAGATTAGGAGAAAGTCACTATGCAAATGTGACAAAAGGCCCCAATATTTAAAAGATAAAAAATTTTGGAAGGTTACTCTCTTGACTTCATAATTAAAACCTCTTCCAGTGGGGCCAGCAGGTGGTATGATGGTTAAAGTACTGGATCCCACATGGCCAACTCCACAGGTTCAATTCCTGGACCCAGTGGCCCAAAAAACACATTGGGTGAGTGTGAACATGTGCCCAAAATCCCAAGAGGAGAATGGAGGAGAAAGGATTGCGGCATGGCCATCCCTTGGAGAGAGAAGTGGTGGTGATTTCTCACTTCCCCTCTCTCTGTCTCTCTATGACTAATAAAAACCTAAAAAAAACAAAAACCTTTCCTAGAAGCAAATTCTCTGTTTTGCCCAGCATGAGGTGTCTACCACACTGACAGCCCTTTATTTTGCAGTGAAATGAAAAGGAATTGGAGCAGCCAGCAGTTCACTGTATAAACATTCATTGGAAATCGAGGCTCCAGGGACCCAAATGTGAACACCTGTATAAGAAGAATGTGGCTGTTGCCTCACTACGCTCATTATAACTTACCTGTCTGCTGGCAGTCCAGAACTTCCTTTGGAAAAATTCAAGTTTCATCTGAATGCCTACAGCTGAAATAGAGTAGAAATAAAACAGGGCATTAGCCATCCTTTAGACAATTATTTCAGAGGATCACTGAAAATGACCCACCATGGTAAGAGGCTGATAGAAGCACATCAGGGAAAGACTACAGTGAGGCATGCAGGTCAGGAATTTCCAGGGTGACCCGTATGCAGAGAACTCTTGATACAGAACAAACCGGCACACGCTGGCGGCTCCTGAGCAGTTCTAAAACCCCTATGTAATAACCACCCCTTATCCTCGAGGGGGAAACATTCCAGCCTCCAGTGGATGCCTGAACCTGAGGATAACACCGCACCCTGAATACTCTACGTTCTTGCAACCTGATAACTGAGACCGCTAAGCGGTGGGCAGGCCGCACATGCAGCCTGGATACGCAGGGCAAGGGGATGGCTCACGTCCCAGCGATGCCATCGATTTCATCACGCTCCTCGAGCACAGTTTAAAACCTATGAATTGTTTATTTCTATAACGTTCTATGTAATATTTTGGAACTGTGGTGGAGCATGGGTAACTGAAAGTGCAGAGAGGGAAACGGGATGAGGTGGGAGGGTGCGAGGGTATTTGTGGTCCAGTCTTCACCCCCGCCCCCGACAAAACCTGAAAACAGAAGTGAAAATAAAAAGGATGTTCAAAAGATTGTTAGTTCTTCAGAGTTCCTGGTTTAGATGACCTTTTTTTGTTTGTTTGTTTTAGATTTTTGCCATAGAGAGTGTACACTCGATGGAGAAAGACAGAGAGACCCAGAGACGGGGAAAGTGACGAAGCATTACACAGAGGAGCTGGCCGTGTCACGGTCCCTTCTCCTCCACTCTCTCAGGATTTGGGGTATGCACACTTGAACTGTGGAGCTGATCATGTGGGATCCAGTGCCTTAAACATCATGCAACCTGCTGGCCCTAGACTTTTTTTCTTTTTGGCCAGAGGTCACATGGGATTGCTGGAGAGACAGAACGCGGGAAAGTGCGAAAGTATCCCCCAGGAGACACGGTCATGCTGCAACCCCTTCTCTTCTCTTTCCTGTAGGGCTTTTGGGCACGCATGCACACGTGCTCATGTGTTTCTCGAGCTGCCAGGTCCAGGACTAGAACCGGGCCGTCAGCACCTTACCAACCGTGCCGCGGACTGGCCTCATTTTAGACAGTCATGCATGAACTTGTATGTCTAAAACATAAACTCTGCAAGGTTTTTTTTTTTCTTTTTTTTAATCTTTCTCTTTTTTTTTCTGGCTATAAGATGCATGCAATCACTGGAAAGAGACAGACAGAGAAATTGAGATCTTTTATTTATTTATTTTTTTTCTGGCTATAAGATGCATGCCATCACTGGAAAGAGACAGACAGAGAAATTGAGAAAGCAACCCTTAGAGGGGATGGCCATGCCCCAATCCCTTCCCTTACCTTTCTCATTTCAGGATTTTGAACATGCAAACGCACACGCACATGTGCCCAGTGTGTTTTCCAAGCTGCTGGGTCCAAGACAAACTGCTCAGTGGGCCATGTGGGATCCAGCTGTCTAACCGATGGTCCAGCATGGGTTTTTGAGATACAAAATGTGCAAAGCATTTGTCCTGAAACTGGCATTTAGAAATTAATCACGGGGGACCAGCAGTTAGCGTAATGGCTATGTCGCTGGACTCCCACGTAGTCGACCACAGTTCGAGTTCCAGACCTGGTGGCTCAAACTCACGCCAGGCATGTGTGCGTGTGTGCCCAGGATCCCGAGAAGAGAATGGAGGAGAAGGGATTACGGCATGGCCATCCCCCCTGGGAGGTGATTTCTTGCTTTCTGTCCCTCTGTCTCTCTCTCTCTGTCTGGTGAGCGCACATGCCCTATAGCAAAAACCTCTCCAAAAAAAAAGAAAAAAAAAAGAAATTAATTATGGTGGGGCTGGCAGGTGGCATGGTGGTTATGGTGCTGGACTCTCACATGGCTGACAGTCATCTGAGCCCCAGACTGGAGGCTTGCTTTCTCACTTTCCCTCTCTTTCTGTGTCTCTCTCCTGTCAATCAAAAAAGTAGTAATAATAAATAATACAATTCTTTTTTTAAAAAAAGAAAGAAATTAGTCACTATTTTGATATGACTTAGTTTAACTGCCCCCCCTGAATCCATAGCTCAATGTTCCTGTCTCCTTAGAACCCTGGTAAAATTATAAAATGGTTTGTCTGCAAAAAGCTTTCTAATGCAACAGCGAAGACTAGTTCTAAACATGCAAAATGGAAAGAGGTTAAGCATGTGAGTCAGGGCCAGCCAGTGGCACAGTGGTAACGTGACAATCTGTGAGGCTTGACCCACCTGAGGAGGACCAGGTTTGAATCTGGAGGCCTCCCTGTACATGGCAGGCACACGCATGCCTATGATTTGGAAGCCGGCTGGGGCTGGGAATGGATCGTGGTGTGAGAACCCTGCCGGGGGTGTCTGCCTCTGTATCCCTTGTGGAAGATGTAAATAAAATAAACTTAAAAAAGAAAAAGAGAAAAGAAAACAAAGTGACTTGAAACTTTGGGAAGTGGAATCTGGTGACACCTCAGAGTTGTACCATGGACACACTCACCGTATTTCTCTCCATAAAGTCAAGATTCCACAATGCTTGAAACCATTTTAGAAGGTGAAATGGTCAGGGGAAAAAGCTCCTAAGATGGAGACAGAGCTTTTGAAGAGTTTGAAAGAACGCGACTCTGCGAGATGTGGGGACTTGTTGGTTGCCATTACTCCAATGCAGTTTTGTGAGTGTCAGCCTGCGGCGTACACTCTCCCAGTGTCTGCCGCAGCTGCATACCACTGCACTGTGATGTATCTCCCGACATTCCTTTCTTTTACTTAAACACCTGCAGTGACTCCGACGTAAGTGTAACAGCCAGCAAGGGCGTTACCCACTGCTGAAACAGAAGTTTACTCATACGTGTGTAGGATTTGCCTGCCACCATGTGAGCCCCTCCTTGGCTAATCACTGGTGTGCTGGCTTCGGGAACTTGGAGGTTCACGAAGGTCCTGGTACAGCTTATAACTACCCAGGGCATTTCTACTTCCTGAAGAAACTGTTGAAACCGAACGAGAATGCACGATTGGAGAGACCTGCCATCTGTCTTTGGATCCGATTCCAGACTCTAGGATAAGCCAAGAGCCAAGCGGGGTGCGATACACAGAATGAGGAACAGTCTCTGAAGTGCACCATGAGCACGCTCCAGGCCTGTCCTGCTCTGCCAGAAGGTTCCGTGGGAGGATGGCAGGAGGTGGTGTGGTCCACCCAGTCAGCAACCCAGGCTGCTCTTGCCAGCCTTGAAGAAAGTTCAGAGACTACCCGAAGGAAGTCGATTTTGTCTGCGGGCTGTTTACATCATTTCAAATAAATCTTATTTTCCAAAACACCCTACAGCCCAGGGTGCGGGATGCGACCTGCGGTGGGGGCTGGGTTTGCTCAGATCCACCAGCAAGCAGAGGTCTCTCTCTGCCCTGCACTTGAGAACAAGCCTGAACAAGTATCTCTGGTTTTACCCAAGACAGGCAGGGGCAGGCGGAAAACCAGCTTCAGCGCAGAGGGCCTCCATGCTGTTGTGATATCAAGAACCGATATCGAAGGGGGGACCTGAGCTTATCTGTGTACTTCTGGGTGTTTCTCTTTGCTGCACACTCCAATTCCCTTTCCCAGCCAGCCTTTCTCAGGCTGGCTCTAGAGAGCAATTCACAAGGCCAAGGCCAACTGCCACGTCCAACTACAGAGCCCTGTTGGACAAAAGCATGAGGGTTTCCTGAAAGCATCACTCTACGGTAGCCTTTGCCTGGTGTGCTTCTCCTTCCAGTGGCTCAGGCTGCCCCTGGCCCATCCAGCGTCTCTCGACTTCCTCCACCAGCTACCTGTGCCCTTTCTGAGCACCCTGCTGCTCTGTCATGGAACTCCTGTTTTTTCACCTTCCTAATGAAGCTAGAGCTCCCTTCTGGGTGTTTATCCATCCCGCATACCTGGAGCCTGCTATCATCTGCCCCTGTCGTCCTGTACCCAGCTCCTCAGAGCGCTTTAATCTTTCTGATGAGTCAGTCTCTCCATCCCATTAATCATGCGGGCTGCTTCCCTCTGATCTCCCTCCAGCAGGCTGCATTGTCTTCCTTGTCCTGATGCCCCGAACTAGACAACACTCCCCTCACTCCTCGCTCACTCCCCTGTCTGGGCCATGAGGTCACTGCCCAAGGAATCCCAGATAGTCCCGAATGCAATTGGTCTGTTGGGGTTTGACCTGGCAAGGTTTCCTGCTGGCTCACCCCTGTGCTTCCTCCAGTGACATCAGCTGACTTCCTACTGCACATCTGGGTTTGCAGCATTTCCACCTAGAACTTAACATTCTTCTCTATGATGGAGACACTCACAATGGCACTGGCGGGTCAACTGCACAACCAGTCGTTAAGAGGCTGTCTCTGTTCTGAGTTGTAGGCTGGGTCCTAAGGGGAATAGGAACGTAGGTCCCCAACACCTAGCTGAGAAGCAACTGCAAGGGAAAAGCTACCTTGAAGGCACCAACAACAGTGCAGCTGAGGACAGGGCTGGCTTGGTCCAGGGGGGGCTACCAGGGCTCTGTGAAGAGAAGGTACATAGATTTGACTTGCAAAGAAGGCAGAACGGAGGACAGGTGAGTATCTAAGACAGCATGGACAGGGGATGGAGTCTTTTTAAAGACCAATGTGTGTTCTGGGCTTGAGAGGAATGGGAGTGGGAGACAGGTGGTGCAGACTAAGATCTGGCCAAGGCATCTGAAGACTATCCTAGAGGGCAGGAATCGGCCCAAGAGCCAAACCAAGTTTGCTGCATGAATAAAGTTTTATTGGACTGCTATCACGCTCTCTAGTTTGCGTGTGGTCTAGAGCGCTCCAGCAGCAGAGTTGAGTAGCTGCAACAGGCAGCTCACAAAGCCTAAACTACTTAATCTCTGGGCCTCTACACGGAACGTTTCCTGACACCTGCTGTAGTGCCATTACAGATCTGTAGAGAAGGGGTG